AGATGACTCCCCATTGTAAGTACTCTTTCAGCCATCCTTCCACTTACTATCCACTCACTAAAATTGATATATAACTTCTCTTGTACACATCGATTTCTCTTCTTTTCTTGTACATATCAAATTCTCTTCTGTTGTTGTGGTTCATCGTCTTCTTTTTTCTTTGTTAGTTCTGTTATTATATTCAAACATTTCATTGCATTCCTCTTCATCATGTCCAATAAATCAAAACAAGATCCCTATGATCTCCTCATCATTCCAACCTATCATCCTTGCCTTGGACTCGGTCCGGGAACCGACTCCCACTAGCCCAGTCTACCGAGCTAATAGGGGTACTACATACCTAAAAATACTATGTTAAATGACAGGTAAGAAACCCAAGTCCCAAATGTAGATACTTTATAGTTTATAGTTATACACAACAGGAACAAACCGCACGATGACCTTTTCATTACGACTACCAAATCCCGTATTACACACCCACGGGAAAATCATCCTGGCCCCAATGCAGTCCTTACAAGTCAAAAGGGTTCCCCAATGCAGACGTACACGATTCTAATAACTCAAAAGGGGTAAAAAGCCAACGGCAGATTTACATTACAAGTAAAAGTAAAATAACCCCCCAGATGATAAAAACCTATGCCTTCACAATAAAACGTCCCTATCATAAAAAATTCCTCATTTATTCAGCAACAATCATAAAACAATCATCTCCACGCCGAACACGTCGCCAAAGCCCGGCTCTTCCACCCGAGATACAGCGCTCCGTCGGCCTCCGCCAGCCCATAATTCGAGCTGTACTCCTTCAACATGTCCCTAATCGCAGGCCCGACCGCCGGGCCGAGCTGCACCGGAACAAATCCGGCCATCGCGAGCCTCATCCTCCACTTCCCAAAGAGCTCGTGCCTCTCGACCCGGTCAACCCCCTCGCACGATATAATGTTGACCACATCCTTGGCCACGCAGTGCTCCTCCGCACTGATCCTCGTCCCGTCATCCCGCGCGCGCGCCGCGTCGTCGATCGACTCGAACATCGCCGTGTAATAGTCGAGCGTCTCGCAGAACCGCTGGAAGAAGGTCGACGTGTTGGTGTTGGACTCCTGCTCGACGAGCGTCACCACTTTCGGCGAAAGCCCCTTCACGAGCCTCAGCAGCCTGTCCCTGTGGTTCGCGGTGCTCACGCTCTCGTCCGGCATGTGGTGAAGCACGTACGGGAAGTTCACGGCCAGGGCCTCCTCTCCTTGCCGGACGTTTAAGTTCTCGAGCCGGACCTCGCAACCCGAGATAGCCGACCCGTGGAACTCAAACGGGACCCCACACGACTCTGCCACGTGGGATAGCCGCCGGCCGACGAGCTCGAGCCCGCCTCCGCGTGCGTGGGCCGAATCTGAGTCATCAACGCCGGTTATCCGAACAAACGGGGGCCCACCGGGCCGACGGGCGAGGGCCTGGATTAAGGACACCCACTGGCTGCCCTGGGCGATTTGGAAGTCGATGATGTGGATTCTTCTCTCGTTCGCCATGGCCTCGGTTATGATCGCGTTGGAGGAGATGTAGGCGAATTTGTAGTAAGGACAGATTTGGTATATCACGTGCATGTAGGACATGAGTTCGGAGCTCGTCGGCTCCTTGCATTTGAGTTTTTTGTAGATTATGCTCCCCGAGGATAGGAGTCGTGCCCGGAGACCTTCGAGCATGTACGCGCCTAATCTCTGGGAGGGGTCGCCGGAGATGGAGACCATTTTCTCGATTATGTCCATGAGGGCCTCCGAGGCGGAGATCGCCACCTGGCGGTCGGGGGGCGGGAGTGTGTCGGATTCAGAGATGATCTCGGCACATGTGAGGAGGAGCTGCTTGAGGTCCATGTGGTGGGCCATCTCGAGGATCCTGTTGTATTTAGTGAAGGGGGAGGAAGGCTGCGGGGGGCCTGCGGCCATACCATTGTAGAAGCCGCTGTCGTCGGTTTCTGACTCGGGCCCCAGTAACTCGTGCCTAATCACCCAAAGCGCGTGCAGCAGCTTGTTCTCGTCCTCGACACCAGAGGAACTACTCAGGGGGGACCCGTTGTCAGTGTTGACCGGCGTATGTTGGTGGAGATCAGATGCGTAGGATTGGGAGCCCGGGGGAGATAACGGGCTTCTTCCGGACGAGAAGCTCGGGCCCGAGGGTGAGCTGTAGTTGGGGAAGTCGGATGCGGGGGTTGACTCGAGAGTGAAGAACTGTTCAGTGTAGGCCTGGAACGAGACTTCAGTGCCTTTGCCCTTTTTGATGCCAGCAGAGTCATTGTTGAGAAAAGCATATGTGTTGGTGTTCTGCGTAGGTCGGCTGTAGAAGCTGTTGTAATGAGTGGAGGCCTGAGATTCTTGGGGTGCCCTCATCTTGGTCAGGAGTCGATGTTGACTTTGATTGAGTAACGAGTATTGTACAATCTTCAAGCTTTTTTCTTTTTATATTTTCTTGTCCAGTTATGACATACACGTCCGAAGTGCTTCAGTGTAGGCAAATGAAGACCTGCAACCTCTTTATGGTGGAATGTGCAAAGCCGACAGAATCTGCAAAAGAGAGAGTACGAAAAGGTCATTCATTACAAGGGATAAATGCTTGGCCTATTGGGCCAAGTTCTGGAACATGTTTCAAGCATCTCAAATCCTCACAGTTGAAAGTATGGGACAAAATGGAGCAATTGTTACGAAGATTGCGACACAGGGCTAGATAATAAAATTATAAAAAGCCAACCATGGGAACAAGCAAAAACAAAAATCATTAAGAGAGAAACCAGAAAGAATAAATGCAGCAAATTGAATGCTAAACGTATATAGTTAGCTAACCAAGTTCTAGATCTAAAGAAGAAACAGCATATACACTAATGTTTAAGCTTTTATGAAGTGTGATTTAATAGACTATTAAATTACATGATACATCTGTGAGCTTGTGAATGACGCCATCATTTGCTTGAATTTATGGCCTATTCATTATGCGTATGGCAGATTCTAAAGGATTTCAGCATTGACTAGTAATAGGCCAAATCAAGGATATATTAAAAATCCTCACCCCACGAAATTTCTGAACTAGCCATAATTCTTAGGTTAAAAAACAAAACACAGAGCAAAAGAAAAAAGTCAGAAAGTGATCTTTCAATTTAGACCGTAAGCCACTCGAAAAGTCAAACCAGTGGTGCGTCTATGATTAAATGAGGAAATTCCATTAATTAATAAGGCACAGTCATTACCGCAGAAAAATCAGAACCTGCGATGGAACCTCAAATGGCAAATTTCATTTTAGGACAAGAAATAAAATCTAAGAGCTGCAAATTTCAATAAATGACACTTACTGAACAAAGCAGATCCAAGATTCACATGAGAAACACACGAGTTGTAACCGAAGAAAAAAACACACATACACATGAAAATCCACAAAAGGAAACGCACAATTCAACAATTATTCTTAAATAAATCACAAATCCACTGTTTGACACTTACTGAACAAACCATTTGATGATCCACGATTCACATGAGAAACACACATATGAGTTGTGACCGAAGAAAAAAGCACACATACACATGAAAATCCACAAAAGCAAACGCACAATTCAACAATTATTCTTAAATAATTCAAAAAAATCCACCGTCCAAAAAGTTGACAAAAGTTGAAAGCAAAAATAAATAAATAAACACAGAAAATAGATCACGTTCTTCTGTAAAAATACCTCCGGATAAAAATCAGCTTCAGTTGATGATTGATGAGAACTGAGTACTCCCGGAGAGACAGATTGTGGGAGAGAGGAGAATATGATTTTTAGATGACTAAAATTTGTTATATATAGCCAGGCAACTTTTGACTGAGTAGATAAGATGCCCTTCCTTTACACTGAAACTACGAAAACGCCCTCGTGAGCGTGTATGTTGCTGTACTATAGTATGTTACTAGTAGTAGTATTTATATATATCATACGACATAATCGATTAGGTTCATAAACACAACTGTTTGACAAATTATACCATTTTTCGTTGTTCTTTGGTACCAATATAGTTTGGAAAGACAAAAATTTTGTATTGTCATTATCACTTGTTCATTGACTATTTATTTATTTATTTGTGTCCTGTGTCAAAGTCGCAGATTAAAAAATGAAATGTTGTAATGATGTATAAATGATAATTAACGTCAATTATGTGGATAATTTTAAGTAGGAGGGATAGGTAAAGTTTAAATTTTTTTAAAAAAAATTATCGTTTTTAATTCGGACTTTAAAATATTCTACAAGAATGAAAGTCTTTATTAGAGATTTTTAAAAATTATGTGATTTTAATTTCTTTACTATTGAGAATAGTTTTTCAACTCGGACAGGTGGGCGCGTCGACCCAGGACCCGCTCAAACCTAGTTGACTCAATCATCGACCTGGTCAGGTCAATCCAGTTTGACTCGGTCACTATAATTTCTTTCCTTTTAAAATTGAACTATGTATATATATTTATATGGTATAAATTTTTATTAAATACAATATTATTAACATTTTGATGTGCAAAATTTATAATACAGAATATTATTTATGTTACTTTTAAGTCTTTTATGCATATTATATGATAAAAGTACTAAATAAATAATTTTTAAACTTTTAATTAATTATTTGGTTTAACAATTGATCCAATGACCCGACAGCTAAATCGGTAACCCGTAGGCCTATTTGGGTAAATCTCCAACCGGTTTAAAAACTACGCTATCGAGGTTTGTTTGAGTTTCTTAAACTTTTTCGAGGTTTCAAACGCAAATGAAATAATAAAATTTGATTATTTTTAAGTTATTGAAATTCACTAATGAAGATATTAACTGTGGTCACATGGAGTAAATCGTGAAATTTTAGTATGAAATTTTATTTATAAACTTATAACACCTGTTAATATATTTATATCAGTTGCACATGTTTAATACTCTCTCCTTTTTTTAATAGATGTCGTTTTGAGAAGTTGAACACTAATTAAGAATTTTTTTTTTGCCAATAATAACTTGCATTAATGATGATAGAGATGAATGTTTTGAGAAAAGATAAAGAATGAATATGAAAAGACGTGTATTTATTAGCTAGATAAGAGTAATAATGAAAAAATATGTATAAAAGATCTAAAACGTTATTTATTTAGACAATTGTTGATAAAATCAAGATGACATTTATAAAAAAAGAAAGGTGGTAGTATATAATAATGTAAACAAAACTAATAAATCTAAGTGCGACAATGACAAATTACGCAAAATGAAGGAATTGTAGGAGAGAAAAAATGCTGAAATCCTTTTGAGTCACAGGGAAGGCGAGACGAGAAATCAAGTGCGCGTTCATTCCGTACTGGGGACCACAGAAGCAGTCGTCAAATGGCTTATTGGTAAATAAATGCAAATCGGGGGGCTTTTTCTCTAATTTGGGAGGCCGCGTTTGATGGTTGTGACGCCTGGTTTGGGGTTCCTAGAAGCAACATCAATTTCTCCATATGTTTTCTAATCATCACTATAATTTATTTTATAAAATAGTAATCATTTTTTACTTAATATTTTTCCTAGCAAATAAAGTAGAAAATGATGATCCTAACGAGCACCAGTTATCCCAATTTGTAATAACAATGAAAGTCCCTTTTCTAGGGTTTTTTCTCCTCGTCATATTTCAGTTTCAATTTTTAGATTTTCAAGTAATCTTACCGTCTGTTGTATTCTTTCTGCAGGGTAGATTATTTGGGGTTCGCTTGTTTACTAGGGCTAGTCGTGTTGCTCTCTCACCTTTATCTGTTTTTATTTTGGTGTGCTTTATTTTGCTGCTCTGAGTCGTCTATGCTTTCCTCTTTTGCTTCTTGTTGTTGTTGTTATTCTTGGGTATTTGGTACTTGTTTGATTCATTCCTGTTCGGGGTGCAATTGCTAGGTCTGGTCTTAAGCTTTAGGAAGTAGAAGGCTCAGGATACAAATATACAATGGATAAACTGCTTAGGTTTAGGTTATCAGATAGGGAGGAACAGGGAGTAGAATTATCGGTTGAACCCAAGTCTCAAAGAATGACAACTTAGCTTGATAGGTCACATTTATGGGGAATAGAAAGCAAATTTCAGTGGATTCAAGGTTGCTTTAGGAGGAATTGGGTTACTAAGAATCCATTTACCACAGGGAATCTAGGAAACAACTGATTTCATTTTTTTTTTTTAATTCCAATTGGAAGAGGATAGGGATAAGATTTTAAAAGGTAAAACTTGGTCGTTTGATGGGCAGTATATTATGCTAAAAAGATGAAATCCTGAAAGAACTGGATTTAGAGAAGATGAGGAAGTGATTAAAATTTGGTTTCAAATATTGAATTTACCCCTGCATTGCATACCTGCTAAAACAGTGAATATGAGTGCACAAACAGTGAAGGTCTTGGTGGAGCTGAAAGCGAAGGAGCCAATTCTAAGAGTATAAAATTGGGGTCAGAGAACAGATGGGTAGACTTCAGGTATGAAAGCCTCCAGACTTTCTGTTTTTATCGTGGTTAACTGGGACACTCAAATAAGAGTTGTTCTGTTAAGAAAGAATATATTACTAGAAATGAGCTTAACTTGGAAATGTGCTTAATCTTGGGTGGTTTGGAGAATGGCTGAGAACCAATAGTATTTATTCTAGTGAATCTACGAGTCCTATGAGTCAGAAGGTAGGAAGTCAAGCTAGAAGTGTGGTAGGAGAGAAAAATAATTTTGAACCTTTGAACCAGAATCTTACCCTACACAAGAAAAAAACAAGTAGGGAAAACTAGTAATCGACATTTATCTCAGATAAAAAGAAATAAAGAACTTATGTTTTAGAAAAACTTGATTGAAAACATTATATTTGCCCCTCACATTTAGAATGAAGCTAGTTTAATGGAAGTTGATATTCAACCTTCTACTATAAGAGGAAGATTAATTTCTCAGAGAAAGAAATACACTTTCACTGAGAAGGTTAGGTTAGGATAGATAAGGACAGTTCTAGGAATAAAAAAGTTGATAGACATTATAAAGATTTCTCAAGGGTTGTGGGTAGGGGTTCTAGTAAAACGAGATGTGAGGAAAGTTAAGAACAAGGGACATGGGTAAGCAAATTTAGATCTGAGGGGAAAAAGACGAAGTTATCTGAGGGAATCAATAGTTCTATGGTAGAGGAAACCAGCCATAATTGGATCATCTACAATTTCTCAGTTTAAATAAGCTCTAAGGGTCTACCTCAATCAACAGTTTAAAGAATGTCAAATTTCTAACAATTTGTTAGGTCAACCTGACGTCCCTTCAATTAACAGAACGTCCTTTCGACGTAACCTCCTCGCAGTTCGTGCAGTCCTCGTGCAGCGCACTCATAAATGCTATTTTGATCATGTCCCCTCGATTTACCTTTAATCCAACAATCCTTGGCGAGTTGTCCTTTCAACTCCTCTTTTTAATCTCATCCGCTTAATTCGACTTTAATCCAACAGTCCTGGTCGACCACCTTTCCACCTTTTCAACTTTAGATATGGGTTGTCATATCGATCTACATCGGACGGCTGGGCTCGACTCTTCTTTGCGTTACCACTGTTTATTCTTCTATAAATAGGCTTCTTATATCCTCAGTCCAAGGTTTTGCCTTCTGCGAAAATCTTCTTGCGAGCAAATCCCTACTTTCTGTCACCGTTAACCTGCTGTCGACCACCGTAAATTTTGCCGCCGACCACCGACTTCGACATGTCTTCAGTCAGAAAGTTTTTTCTCCCTTTTTCATTATTATTATTATTATTATTATTATTGTGTTTTCATTTTCACTTTTAAAATTTCTGCTCTTCAATTCCCATTCGACAAAATTGCATTCTCCTCAGAATTTTTCCTTCTTCTTTTGTTTATTTTTTTAGATTCTCGCGTGACCAGCGACTCCAATGATACTTCTGTTGGTGGGGACATGACCACTCCTCCTCTTCTTCGACCCCACCCTATCGATCCTTTTTTTTTTCTTCTTCATCTTCTGAATCTTTCCCCAGTCTGTTCTGTTGTCCTCGCGACCTCTCCAATTTGTCTATGAATATGATGACGATACCAATTCCCCTTGCCCGACTGCACCTAAACGAAGCTCGATCCCCATGGGTAGACCTATCCCAGGTGCTACCCTTGACATCGCCGACTAGTTGGTCTCTGTGGCCCGTAAACCAAGGTAATGAAGACTGACTCGGACACTTCAAGGTTTTAAGCAGATCGCCCCAAGATTGGCCTTTTATAACTCCCCAAACTCTCGACACCTATGACCAACAGGTTCTAAACTTTGTTTCATCTTTTAGTTGCTTTCCTCTCTTGTCCCTATGCTCGATGAGGAGGTACGTGCATCCTCGTCTTCCTATGAGGACCTCAAGGACATGAAAAAGGAGAATGACCAGCAGACTCTCAATAGATAGCAGAGAGTGGTTCACTTCATTACATAGAAAATGCGGCGTTGGCTCGTGAGTCTCTCGACCTGATTGTTGAGCTGTGGGAAAATGCAACCATGTGGTGGTCATATACAAGAAAATAATCTATTGCTTCACATTATAATTAATTTCCAAATGGGATTTAGTTTGGAGTCGAGTTGATGCGATGAATCATGTCGGAAAACTCAAGCCAAACTAGGACAATGATATACGTCATTATTACATGCATTTTAGAGTAATTTCAGTGTGCATTTTGTCGTAGCTTGTATATTTTTGGGCATATTTTAATAAGTTTATTAAACTATGATGGTTTTTTTTTTTTTAAATTGTTATATGAAATATGGTTGAAATAATTATTGCAGACAAAAATGGTGAAAGACGGATAAAGATGGAATCTGGGCCTTACATTAGGACTGCCAAATTACCCTTCCCTCATAATATTGGAAGGCCCTCTTGATTTCCATTCCACATGATAAATCATTGGACCAGTCTACTAAGGCAGGCCAACGTTAGCTACTAATGGGCTTCTAACTTAAGAAAGAATCTGCCCAGTCCAATGGATGTAGGCCTTTACTTTTTCGAAGTCCCGAGAGTGGAATTAAAAGTAAAAATCAATCACTTTTCTTCACATAACGCATCCAAACACACTATTCCCCGTGCATGGCAGCCCAGTTTCTCCTAGTCCAACATGCATCCTAGCTCGCTCGCTCGCTCGCTCACGAGTCTGCAACATTGAAATATTAAGAGAAAAGTACCCTCTGCACGAGTCCAATTTTCTATATTGCCCATTTAACGAGATAAAAAAAAAAATCGCACATCAAACTTCATTCAGGCTCAATTACGAAATGTAAAAATTTCAATTCCACTTTCTCCATCATTAATGTAAAAATTTCAATTCCACTTTCTCCATCATTGACGCCGCGATCACCACCCTCACCATCTTCTCTCACCGGACTCCGCCTTCTCCACTCTCGGTCAGCCGTCTCTCGCCCACCTCCTCCTTCACTCCTCCCCCTCTCTCTTTCCCCGTCATCCCTCCTCTCCCTGCCCTTCGCCTCCACAGTCCCGTCCCTCTCCCCGGCCAGCCACCTCGTCGTGACCTCCGGCCAGCCCGTACAAATATCCATCAATAACGTCGGAGTCTCTGATACTCCCATTTTCGACGACGGATTTGTCTTCGTCTACGCAATTGACGGTTTCTTCAACCTGAATTTCACCATAGCGGATGCAGATCCGGCCAACCCGAACCCTAGATCTCATTCCCAGTGCCTGAATCTAGAATCATTCTCTAGATTTGGGGATGCGCCTGGAGTTTTGAAATCGAGAGGCTACTCGTTATTTCTTCCAATCGACTGATCACCGATAGCTTGTTATCATTTTAGGTAAACTTTATCCTGTCAATTATTTTTAATTTTCGTACTATTTTTTTTTCAGGAAATTAAATGTTCATGGAATTTGCTGGTAGAATTTTGTGATGCTAGAGTTATTTTTATTTTTTATTTTCTGTAAATTGTTTTGCTGCTTTTTGCTCAATTTTCCCTCCGTTTAGTTGGTCATTTTTCTATGCAGTGTTATGTAGTTTGTTGAGATATTTGTGTGATATGTGCTTTCTGTTGTTCAGTAATTGATTAATTATGTGATCTTTTAATCTCTCGAACTGCAGATCATTGGACTTTTGGAAACTCACACGACGTTGTGAAACCGTGGACAGTTTTTGGAGCAATGGACGAGGAATTGGTCCAGTTTTCTGGGGATTTCGTAGGCCTCTCTTCTTTGTTCATGAGGCATTTGGCTCCGTGCAAAGTGATGTGGAATGATATGGATGAGATGACCAACGGGACTGTGGTTTCCAACAATGTGAGCGGCTTTAGCTTGGAGATTACCAAGGATGAAGTTGATACAGTGATGGTGAATGGAGTCGAAATCACTTCCCAGAGCTGTACGAAAGCGAGTGGCTGGTGGTTCACGGGATCGAGCGGTGATTGCTTTGCCGGAGATTGGGGATGAGGAGATGGAAGTGACGGAGGATTTTCCGGTGGAGGAAGACAATAACTCGATGGCTCTGGATAATGGGGACCTTTGAGGTCAGTTGTTGCTAGTTTATTGAATGAAGCGTTTTCTTTTACATTGAAGAATTTTTCATGTCTTGAAAAGGGAATGAGAGCTTTTAATATTCTTAGAATTGAAAATTGGGATTGAAGTGAATATGTGAATTGTGGAAATTTTACTAATGGAACTCTGGTATGAGATTTCTTGTTGAAAAGTGTCTCGGTTTATGAACGAGGAGAAAACAAGCATCAAGGAGAAGAGAGGTGAAAATGGGGATACGAAGGTCGGAAAAAGTGATGGGCTGCGTTTCCATGGCTCCGATTACCCCTTTTTTCAAATTAGATTTTTAGAAGAAAAAAAAATTAAAGTAGCTTTTTTAGTGTTAGTTCGATGTTTATTTGATGTTTATTTGACGTTTATCTATGATTTTTTAAAGATGAGAGCTTGAATAATCTGTGGAAGTTTTTTATAAAATAGACTTTTGAGTGTTAATTGATGATTTCATTACGTGTGTTGATTTAGGGGAAAAAAAATTATAGTTTTTTGAGTGTTAATTTGATGTTTATCTGATGTTTATCTATGATTTTTTGAAGCTCGGATCTTGAATAATATCTGGAATTTTTTTTGTTAAGTAGCTTTTGAGTGTTAATTGATGTTTATCTATGATTTTATTATGTTTATCAATAGGTTGTATTCTGAAAATAATATATATGTAAATTTACATTTGGTGTGTATAAAAGTACTATTTTTATAACTATAATAAACTAAAAATAAACCTATATATTTTTTTCTTGTATAATAAACTGTTTTTTTTTCTAGTATAATAAACTGAAAGAAAACTATATATAAATTTAAATTTACAATCTGTATTCTTATAATGGTTTATAAACCTATAATAAATTTAAAATAATCTAGATATGAATTTTGGTAAAAAAACTGGTTCATAAACTCAAGATAAATTTAAAATTAACTATATTTAAATTTAAATTTGGAAGTTAATTATTTGGTGCACATAGAAAATGAGTTAATTACATGAGTTGGTTATTAACAATGCGTGATGATAATTGTTGGAATTAATTAAGTTGTAAGAGGAGGTTGTGATGATAATTGTTGGAATTAATTAAGTTGTAAGAGAAAAGCCTTCCTACGTCTGCGGGCCGGTAGGATTGGTAGCTGGCACCAGAAAATCCGTTGTAAAATAGACTTGGTAATAACTTTTCAATCTCGTAAAGTGGAAAATTCATCAGAAATAGTGTCCAATCGTGTCCTTTAGCCAAATATTAATAGCTCAACTTTACTAGCGTTTTGTAAGAAGATTTATTTGATTCAAACATCTATCGGTGCAACTGAATGATCGAGATTAGAGATCTCTAACCATTGCTTGTGGGTGTAGCAAATACGATGAAGGTCTTCTTGGCTTTTTCACTTTCTCTTCTCTCAAATGGTGTAAAAATCAATTGTTCTAAATGATGAACACATGGACCTGTTAACACCTGCGCTACCATTTAGCATAACGATATCAAACACACCGTTCAATAGAAGCAGTGCAATTTAATTATGTCCATCATATAATTTTAATAGCAATTTAATATCAGATACACCGTTCGATTGAAGAATAGAACGATTTTGGAAAGATGAAACAAGTTTTACTATTGATGTGTTTGGTATGTAAAAAGAATATGACTGAATGGAATGATATTATAATCATATATTATTATTTATCACGATTTTATCAAAAATATATTTTTAATATTTATATTACTTTTTTTTTTATTTATGAAAATATCAAAATGATTTTTATATTTATAAAAATATGCTATTTTTTTTAATATTTGTTTATATTGTTATAGTTAATACATAAGTAAATTATTTTTTTATATATGTTAATTAATATAAATATATCACACCGTAAACTCTTACAAGCATATGTGGTAGTATATAATTATTTATAATTTCATTCAGTTTATGAATAAACAGTATATGGTTATATGATAAACGTAAGATCTTTTTGAACTATCTATACATGCATTTTTTTAAGTTTTTATTTTAGTAAGTATTTAATATATCTAAGTAACATATGGATAATAAATAAAAATACAATTATTTTTAACTTTTTATTTGAAATTTATTTCTTAAAGTATTTTTCTAATATAATTGAATCATGATTCGAATTATATATTATATATTTATTTTTTATCGTTATTTGTTAGTTTAACTTTTAAAAAATTATATCCTAAAGATATGAGAATGGAAAAATCATGCATTAGCTATGGAACAATTAGTACCATAGAGATGATTTTTGCAATTCTCTTTGGAACTATCATTTATTTCTAAAAAAATTACCAATTAATCGTAAGATTAGAAATGAGTAAATGAATGATCATTCCATTTTAACGTCATTTCATTATACCAATCATACAGAGTATACTGTATATGCAACCACCACATAAAACCATTCCAAAAAGGCACACCTAATATTCATAATATGCTTCAACCTTAACATGGCTATTAATAGTTTAATACTCCACATCACATGTACTAAACAACAAGAGAACACCCACTAAACAAGCAAGCTGATTCCATGCATGCATTACCCAGAACCCATTATCAGGTAATTTGTAATAGATCTAACACTGCAGTACTATAATCACACTAGATAGATAAAAATAAAAAATAAAAAAAAAGATNAAAAAAAAAAAAAAAAAAAAAAAAATATAGAGCCCATAGCACTAGTTTCACAGACGAAGAGAGGTGTCAACATCATAACCCGAATTCTCCATCTTCACCTGCGATGTACAAACAAACGGCCCATCAGTAGATGCAATCGTGGCCCGACTATCCGCGGGCCTTTCGGCAGAAGAATCTGGCCAGAGAGATAGAGAAAGCTGGCAATTAGGTTTAGGAGGATAAAAAATCTCCGACGACCGCAATCTTTTTTCGGATTGCATCTCGTGATTATAATCACATGCGTATTTTCTGGATTCGGACAACATTCTGAGGAGCTCTTTCTCCTGTCTTAACTCCTTCATTTTCTCCAACTGCCTGAACCTCTCCTGCAGTAGTGCCAACAAGGCATTAGTCACACCACTAGTGCCGTGATCATTGGCCATTTTATTTGAAGTTTTCGTGCAAAAAAATATTATATGTGGAAGAACAATGACATTAAGAGATATTAGCTACTACTATAGTCTATTATATATAGTGTAATGAATTTGAATAATATTCATTGTGCATGGCTCGAATATAATGTGTATATATAGTGCCCGTGCACGGTAATAAGTGTAGGTTTTAACATTTTTTATCTTTACTTTTTTCCTTTTATTACTTTTTCCTTTTGTTTTTTGTGGAAAAGAAGAAGGGGAGAATCAGCAAAGTAGAAGATCCAAATAGGAAAAGGACGATAACCCAATCTTGCAAAGGGTTTTTGTGGGGGTAAAGAAAAAGAAAGTGGTTTTGGGAGAGAGTCCAAAAGAAGGGGGTTAAAATTAGTAGCACATGTTATTGGGGTGTGTTTGGAGGAATAATAGATTAGGGTGATGCTCGGTATATTGCTCCAAAAAGGCCCGGCTTTTAGGTTTGAAACAATATATAATGGTGCCTCTTTTGGTGGGTGCACATCAACTTTACTTTTGAAAACAATAATGTTTTGGCCCCTTTTAAAATGAATTCCCCTCCTCTACTTGATTATATTCTCCTCTTTCAAAAGCTTTTCATTTTGTTTTTCTATTTCTTTTATTTAATTACATAACTACTTTTTGGTTATTTGAGCAAGACCAAGTACTTGCATTTGAAACAGGATATGTGGCAAGCCCGATTTAGCAAGTACAAATAAATCAAAGTGCATTTTTCACCTGAAAATGAAAAGGGAAAGAGAAAAAAAAAAAATAC